AAAGAAACATAGAGAAAAGTATCTATTTTCGCTACAGGGTGTCCTTTTGAAAGCATATCTTGCATGTCCACTAGGGGCTCTAGTGACATAACTATCTCAGTTTAGAGCAGCAGCAGCTCCCTAGTTCAGACCAACCTGTCTTGGGAGATGGATATTTAATAGGGAATGATCACTGTAGCAGATCACTGGAAGATAGGCCTTCAACATGAGGACAATGAGCTGTTAAGGGAGTTACCCTGGCATTAGTTAATTAAAACCTGAAATAAACAGCTTCCCTCAGCTAGAACTGTAAAAGCTGCAGAGATATGATCACATTCTTCTCTTGCAATCTCTTAACATTAGTAGATGCAGGGCCCATGAAATTATGTACTGGAGACTTCTTTAATAGCTTTGAGATTATTTTTTTACTGTCTCCAAATTCATTGCTTCAATTGGAAAACCAAGTTAATTCAAATCAATGTTCCTGAGAAAACGAGCAGCAGGACAGAGGAATAATCAAGTGTCCATAGCAAAACTGATTCAGCCCTGAAAGTGTTCTTTATTGTAGAGGTGTTTGGCTTTTTTCCCCTCCCCCTTCCTCTGTAAAGTATAAGACTCCTATAGATTTCAGTACAGAACTGGGACTTTGGTCTGGTGTGTGTATGTTCCTTATTTGTCGGTATCACTTAACTTCTGTGCCTCTCTTTTTCCAATCTGTCTATTTTAAAAGGAGGGACTGATAGCTTTACCAGTATTCCTTGAGGCAAATATAACGTTTGTTAAATCTTTGGAGACTCTTGGATATGAGACACAAACTAAAGGCAAAAAGTTGTTAAAATGAGGGTCCTTGTTCTGATAAAATGACACCCTAGGGCAGATATGCAAGTAAAAGCATGATGGGGTCTAAGTGGAAAACACATACATGGCAGGAGGTGTGACTGTGGGATGAAGTATCAGATCCTATCATGCCAATTTACCAGTGCAGGGGGAGTCCAGGATCATGATCCTAGGCTCCCCTTCACTGGCAAGTTCCTGCAGCCTGGCCACATGGTCAGCTAATGGTGTGATATGAAATGCCCACAAGGTTTTACACTATTTTTTTGTGCAATAACTTTGTGCCACTAATTGCATTGATGTATGACCACATAAGAACTTAAGACATGATAGTTTCATAGTTTCTAGGGTCGGAAGGGACCTGAGCAGATCATCTAGTCCGACCCCCTGCCATGGCAGAAAAGAGTACTGGGGTCAAACGACCCCAGTA